GTGATTTTTCACTTTCCTCTGTCTCCCTTTGTCTTTCTTGGCGAGCACATGTACCCTATGGCAAAAAAAAAATAAAAAAATAGTAAAATAAATGGCTGCTGACTTTGATGAAGTGCTTTTTCAATAGTTCTCGATATTATGTAATCATACTCTTTTCCTCATATATATATATATTTTTTTTCTTTTTTTGGAGGACCATTGCTCAGGGCCTGCGGCCACCGACTTTCTTGAGCACCACTCTTGCGATTAGCCCAATTCCAAGCTCCAGAAGCATGGCACCGATTCTTCTTGGGCTTTGGGCGCTGCTCTGAGCAGCGGTCACCTTTTATACCAGAAAGCTGGTGGGCACAGTGGGGGGGGGGAACAAAACAAGAAGAAAGTGGAGGAGGTGCTAGAAGAGGAGGAAGAGGAATACGTGGTGGAAGAAGTTCTTGACCGTGAGCGGTAAAGAGCAAAGTGGAGTACCTCCTCAAGTGGAAGGGCTTCTCAGATGAGGACGACTCGTGGCAACCAGAGGAGAAGCTGGATTGCCCGGATCTCATTGCGAGTGTCTGCAGTCACAGAAAACAGCACAGGAGACAGATAGACAGAGGGAGGCAAGCACAGAGCTGTTTCTGATTCTGAAGATAAGGAAGAGGAGAGCAAACCAAAGAAGAAGAAAGAGGAGTCAGAAAAGCCACGAGGCTTTGCCAAGGGTTTGGAGCCAGAGTGGATTATCGGAGCTACAGACTCCAGTGGAGAGCTCAAGTTCCTCATGAAGTGGAAAAACTCTGATGAGGCTGACCTGGTCCCTGCCAAGGAAGCCAATGTCAAGTGCCCACAGGTTGTCATATCCTTCTGTGAGGAAAGGCTGACATGGCATTCCTACTCCTCCGAGTATGATGACAAAAAAGATGACAAGAATTAAGTCTCCCATCCCTTCTGACTGTGGGTTTCAAGCTGGGAGGAAAGGAGTTCTACTTGTCTCCACACCATAGAGGTGGCTTGAGAAGCTGTCCTTTGAAGAGCCAGTACAGTTTCTGTGCCCTGCAACGGCCCAAGTGCTTTACAGCCCTTCCCAGCTGTATAGTTTGCACACCTGTCCCAGTGGAGGGGAAGGGGATACGTGTTTCAAGGCAACCACTCTGCACTTTGCTGAGAAAAGCAAAGGCCCTTCTAGGAAGGACAAAACTTGAATTGGGTGTGTGGGAGAGCAAAAAGATACTAGATCTTCCTAGAGCATCTCCACAACCCACAGCCTTCTTCCCAAAAGTGTTAACACTGCATTTTTACAGCGTAGCCTGTGTGTAGTTTTTGGCTATTATTGGTTTATTATTTGGGGAGTGGATGGGGTGAAGGGATATGAGTAGGATCATTTTGGTTAAAATTTGGGGCCTGACTGGGAAAATGGTGAAATGGGAAAAAACAATTAATGATGCGTTCTATGTCTTGAATATTTTCCCTTTTCAAAAAATGTCATTGGGGGACCAGCAGTTAGCGTAATGGTTATGTCGCTGGACTCTCATGTAGTTGACCGCAGTTCAAGTCCTGGACCCGGTGGCTTAAAACTCACGCCGGGCAAGTGTGCATGCTTGCCCAAGATCCCAAGAGGAGAATGGAAGAAAAGGGATTGCAGCGTGGCCATCCCCCCTGAGGGGTGATTTCTCACTTTCTGTCTCTCTGTCTCTCTGTCTGTCTGGCGCGCGCACGTGCCCTGTAGCAAAAACCTCTCAAAAAAAAAAAAATGTCATTGGCACCCTAAACAAGGACTATGAGAGACTGCTTTAAAAGCTGTGAATGCCTGAAATCTATAAGCCAGTGTGTTTCCTGCCTAAGTTTAATGCTGTTCCCCAGAAAAGACTAAGCCAGTTCATAAGTTACCAAAGCTGCAGTTCAGGAGATGGAATCTGACCGAGGAGGGAAAGTCTTTCACTGGGGAGTATACACAGGCAGGTCATTCTGTCTTTGAGGTGCTCATTCCAGGCAAGAAGACCCTTTCCGGTCCAGCTAAGAAGTTCTATAAGGTTGTCCATCCAAGTCGCTGACTGAGGGATTGCGGGAGGGGCCTGGGGTGGTGTAGAAGATGCAAGTAGGGAGGACAGGGGCTCAGGCTCTGAGGTGAACAATTCTCAAAGCCTCTGTTTTTTGAACTTCGAACTCTAAAACCATTGACGGAAGGGTTCAGTCACCGACAGCACACATTTCATTGAATTAATTCAAGGGTTAAATGATTTCAAAAGCCCTGGTTTCAGGAGAAGATTAAACTTTCATACTGGGGCAGTGGTTCACTTTAAAACACAAAACAAACAAACAAAAATCCTCAGAATTAACTGATATCCGAAACGCTGTCTTGAATCATGAGATCCATCCCATTCTTGACAGCATCTAGACCTATACCTTAAGCTACACCGTTAAACCTTTCTAAGAATGTGTTAGATTTCTGTGAAAATTCCGTTTAAATGTAAACTTCATACCACACTTGTCAGTTTCTGTCTTACTAAAACTCCAGATTTATAATCCCTTTTAAAAAAGTATTTTTTGGGGGGAATCAGCAATTAGCGTAATGGCTATGTCGCTGGACTCCCACGTAGTCGACCACGGTTTGCGTCCCGGACCCGGTGGCTTAAAACTCACGCCGGGCGCGTGTGTGTGCGTGCCCAAGATCCCGAAAGGAGAATGGAGGAGAAGGGATTGTGGCGTGACCATCCCCCCTGGGGGGTGATTTCTCGCTTTCTGTCTCTATGTCTCTCTCTGTCTGTCTGGCGAGCACACGCGCCCTATAGCAAAAATCTCTCCAAAAAAAAAAAAAATTTTTTTTAAAGTAAAATCAAAAACAGAGGCCAACAGGTGGCTTGGTGGTTAAGATGCTGGACTCCTATGTGGCCAACCCCAGTTAGAGCTCCAGGCCTGAAGGCTTGACAATCATACCAGATGCATGTGCATGCGTGGCCAAAATCACAGGAGTTAAATAGAGAAGGGACTGTGGCATGGTTATCCCCCACAGGAGGTGATTTCTCACTTTCCTTCTCACTGTCTGTCTCTAGTGAGTGCACACACCCTACGGCAAAAACCTAAACAAACAAACAAGTCAAGGGACCAGGTATGTTTGTTTGTTTGTTTTAAGGTTTTTGCCATAAGGCATGTGCGCTTGCCAGAAAGAGAGGGGAGTGGGGGAGCAGGAAGCATCGCCCATGGGATATGACTATGCTGCAATCCTGTCTCCTCTACCTCTCCCTCCTTTCAGGATTTTGGGCAGACGTGCACACACATCCAGCGTGTTTTTCAGGTCACCTTATCAGACACTCAAATTGGGCAGTTAGCCATGTGGGAGCCAGTCGCCTTAACCACCATGCCATGAGCCGGCCTAAGTTTATGTATTTTGTTCATGATAGAGAGCATGCATGTGCACGAGAAAGGGAAAGACAGAGAGAAAGGAGCACCCTTTACAGGGTGTCGCTACGATCAATCCTCTTCCACCCTCCAGCTCTTAGGTCTTGGGCACTGTGTGCATACGCCTGGCATGTTTATAAGCTGAAGCAGGGATCCAAACCAGCAGCTGCCCACGTGGTTTCCAGCACTGCAGTTCAGTTTGCTAGTGATTGTGCCACCAGGCTGGGCTCCAAATCTTTTTTTCTTTTTTAAAATTATTTATTTAATTTTATTTATTGTTATTATTATTATTTCTTAATTTGCCATAGAGCATGTGCAAGAGAGAGAAAGAGAAAGTGAGAAAGCAAGACAGTAGGCCTGGTACTCAAACCACGGCTGACCATGAGGGAATCCAGGGCCTCAGCCACCACGCCACCTGCTGGCCCCCCAAAGCTTTCTTAAAGCTTCCTTCACATCCTTGTTTCTCAAAGAGTAGATTAGGGGGTTCAACATTGGGATCACCACTGTGTAAATCACAGCAACAGTGCGGTCCTGCATCAGGGAGTAGCTGGACTTGGGGCGCAGGTACATAAAAAGTGTCGTGCCAAAGAAAAGGCAGACAGCGGTGAGGTGGGACGCACAGGTAGAAAATGCTTTGAATCTGCCCTGAGTGGAGCTCATTCTCACAATAGTGATGAGGATTAAGAAGTAGGAAATCAAGATGGTGAGGGTGCAGCTCAAAAGGTTGAAACCAGCAAAAACGAAGAGCAGGATCTCACACAGGGAAGTGTCCACACAAGACAGTGACAGGATGGGTGGTCCATCACAGAAGAAGTGAGTAACCACGTGAGCACCACAGAATTTCAGACTGAAGATACAGCTCGTGTGGATAAGAGAATTGAGAAATCCTGCACCATAGGAGCCCAGAATCAGAGAGGCACAGACCTCGGGAGACATGACGGCTGGGTAGAGCAGAGGGTTACAAATTGCAGCATAGCGGTCATAGGCCATGGCAGCGATGAGATAGCACTCACTGGTGGCAAAACCCGCATAGAAAAACATCTGAGCCATGCAGCCAAAATAGGAGATCACCTTCCTCTTGGCCAAGAAGTTCACCAGGGTCTGAGGGACAATGGTGGAAGAGTAGCAGAAATCTAAGAGGGAGAGGCTCTTCAGGAGGGAGTACATGGGTGTGTGCAGCGTGGCACTCGTGTGGATCAGGAGAAACAGGACCAGGTTCCCCAGCAGAGTAACGCTGTACATGCCCAGGAACACCACGAAGAGCAGCCTCTGCAGCCGAGGGTCACTAGTGAGGCCCAAGAGCTCGAACTCAACCCCTCGACTCAGATTTGCCCCTCCCATATTCCTCTAATGCTCTGGGGTGTGGAGAGACAGCACCACCAGGTGGGGTAACGTGCGGCTACCCTTATCCAGCAATGGATGTGATTAATATAGAGTATAACCCGATACTATCGAGTATGGCAAACCTAGATTTGGGTTATAAATGTCATCTGTGCCATTGGTATCAAAAGCTAACTCAACTTCAAGGCAAATCAGAGGACTTTAAGAAAATGCCTATAAGGCTATACAACTTCCAGGGTGGGACGATTACAGGAACTTCAAGCAAGTAGAAAGATGATCACCAAGTACAGAGTGGAACGTTGTTGCGATTCAGCTTCGCATCTTCTTACCTCTGTCGATTGTTTCAGTTTGGATAAAGGGCCCGTAATATCTCTCTGATTAAAAGAAGACATGAGTAAAAAGCAGCGGGGATGTGTCCAGCACTCTGGAGAAGCTAGGCGAGGGGGGAGTCTGCACTGAGATGGAGCGGGGAGACGGGACAGGGCGAGCTGCTGGGCGGATGATCAGAGCCTCCAGATTTATTACCTGCTTTAAATCCACTCCCTTTCTCGCCTCTTTCCTTTCCTTCCCTCACCTCTCTTCTCCAACCTACACTACATTGAAAATTCTTCAAAATACAGGGAGAATACAGGAGTCTGTCAAGGAAGGGATTATAGAGAAATTGGCATCTGACAGTTTTTCAAAATTTGTTGAAATAATCATTATCTCTGTTGTATGTAGTCTTACAGAGAACCAGCAGATACTGCTACAGCAGTTACATTGCTGGACTCCCACATGGCCAACTGTAGTTTGAGTCCTGGGTCGGTCATTTGAAAATCACGCCGGGCACACACGCGTGCGTGCCCAAGATCCCAGGAAGAGAATGGAAGGGAAGGGATTGCAGTGTGGCCATCCCCACTCGGGGATGATTTCACACTTTTCCTCTCACTGTGTCTGTCTCTCTGTCTCTCTCCGGCAAGCGCACACGCCCTATGACAAAAAAAAAAAAAAGAAAATCTAAAAACTAAAATAAAAGGTAGTCGTACCAGATTATTAGGAAGTGACCTGTCTTTGAATGAAAGCAAAAACCTGGAGCCTGTAGGTGAGGGAGGAGAAAAGTGGAGGCTGCCTTCTTGGCCCCCTCCTCGTGGTAACTCAATGAGAGCACCAAGGGCAGATTTCTATGGAAACGTCCAGTTTGGGCGACAGCAATCCCAAACGGTGGTTCCTAAATAGTGAGCTGCCTTGCCCAGGGCTCACTAGAAAAACTTGCATGTGCAGATTTTAAGTCCCAATGGCAGAAAATTTGATCCAATATGTCTACTGCTGGGTTCCCATATGTGATGATTCTGGAAGAGGTGGTCTCTGAGCCTCACTTCGAGGAACAGCGAACTGTAGAGTACTTACAAAAGCAGACAGATCTTCCTGAGCCACACAGAAACATCCTTTCTTAACTTTCTAGAATCCTCTGTGTTCTGAGAAGTCAGCCTGGGGGTAGGACATTCTCTCCCTCCCAGAAGACCTATAAGCAGTTGACAATTTCCAGAAATCTGGGTACTACTTGATGATAGACAAGAGAATTTCTTCCTTCAAAGTTGCTCAAGGTGTTCTTAAGCAAACCATGGAATTCTAGCAAAGTCCATTGCTCGATGGCAGAGCTGCTATCCTGGAGAAACATAAGCCTTCAGCAGAGAAACAATAAAGACAAAAGACTCGCGGAGTCGACAGACTGAATCTGGGAATCAGAGCCCGCTACTGCCTTTAACCTCTCACGTGATGAGAGCAGGGAGGCAGCCCCACTTGCTGTGAGCTCCTCACAACTGATCTGGCGCAGGTAGGAGACCCTCGAGGGCCAGATTCTCCCCTGGGCAATGTAACGTGTCCATTCACATGAGTTTAGGAGGCAGGTGAGGAAGTGAGAATAATCAGTCCCACGTGGATTCATTACGGTGTATCTCCAAGAGTCTCTACCCCTGAGGAATCAGACGACTGGGAAACTGGAAATGAGTGAGAATGTACACACACCAGATCCCTGCCAACATGCTGCTTATTATCCCCAAAGGAAGGCGCTACTTAACTCCCGCGTGATTATTATCTGTATTTCCTCTGTCCTGTAGACCAAGTTTCTTTCTTCCATGTCAGTTACTTCAGGTACAGTTGCACCCTACAGTTGAGGACCTTCGTGTCCTTCAAGATCACTGTCAAGTAGAGGATACTATGAGCAACCATAGGCCAACAAACAAGATAACCTGGAGGAGATGGACAAATTCCTGGATGCATACAATCTACCAAGATTGAATCAGGAGGACACAGAGAACCTGAATAGACCCACCCCTATCTTACTAAAATTATTTCTAAAGATTCAAAAGGAAGGAAACCTTCCAAATTCATTTTATGAAGCCTCCATCATCCTCATCCCCAAAACAGATAAGGATATGACAAAAAAGGAAAACTACAGACCAATATCATTGATGAATATAGATGCGAAAATTCTCAACAAGATACTCGCAAATCGTATCCAACAACATATAACAAAGATCATTCATCACGACCAGGTAGGCTTTATACCAGGGATGCAAGGGTGGTTCAATATACGCAAGACCATAAATGTAATACACCACATTAACAGAAAGAAAGATAAAAACCATATGATCATCTCAATTGATGCGGAGAAAGCGTTTGATAAAATACAACATCCTTTTATGATTAAGACTCTCAGTAAGATTGGTATAGAAGGGTCATTTCTGAACACAATAAAAGCAATCTATGAAAAACCTACAGCTAATATTATACTGAATGGGGAAAAGCTGAAAGCTTTTCCTCTGAAAACAGGTACTAGGCAAGGCTGCCCACTTTCTCCACTGCTCTTTAATATAGTACTGGAAGTCTTAGCTATTGCAATCAGAGAAGAGAACAGTATTAAAGGCATTCGAATAGGCAAAGAAGAGTTGAAAATATCTTTATTTGCAGATGACATGATGGTATACTTAGAAGACCCAAAGGTATCCATGAAAAAACTGCTTGAAGTAATAAGTGAATACAGTAAGGTGGCAGGATACAAAATCAATATCCAAAAATCTATAGCATTTCTATTTATGAACAACAAGTTGAACGAAGCAGAGCTGAAGAAAGGAATCCCTTTCACCATAGCCACAAGGTGTATAAGATACCTAGGGATAAACCTAACTAAGAAAGTCAAAGACCTTTATAAAGAAAACTACGAAAATCTTAAAAAAGACATTGAAAGTGACATAAAAAAGTGGAAGGACATCCCATGTTCCTGGATTGGAAGAATTAACATAATCAAAATGGCAATTCTACCCAAATTAATCTACATGTTTAATACAATTCCAATCAAAATACCAGAAATATTCTTCACAGATCTAGAAAAGACAGTCATAGAATTTGTCTGGAATCATAAAAGAGCTCATATTGCAAAAGCAATCCTGTGCAAGAAGAATGGAGTAGGAGGCATATCACTCCCTGATCCCAAGATATACTATAAAGCTGTGGTCATCAAAACAGCTTGGGGGACCAGCAGTTAGCGTAATGGCTATGTCGCTGGACTCTCACGTAGTCGACCATGATTCACGTCCTGGACCTGGTGACTTAAAACTCACACCAGGCGCGTGTGCGTGCATGCCCAAGATCTGAAGAGGAGAATGGAGGAGAAGGGATTGCGGCGTGGCCATTCCCCCTGGGGTGTGATTTCTCACTTTCTGTCTCTCTGTCTCTCTCCGTCTGTCTGGCGAGCGCACGCGCCCTATACCAAAAACCTCTTCAAAAAACTCAGCTTGGGGCAGATCCTACGCGGGTGGAGGAGCGCGCAGCTGACATTGTCCTCTAAGCTCAACTGTTCCAGCCATCTCGAGAGCTTTCTCTGCCCTGTGCACAATGACAACTCTTAAGGATAAACTCATTGCATCAGTTGCAGAAGAAGAGGCAACGGTCCCCAACAATAAGATCACTGTAGTGGGTGTTGGACAAGTTGGTATGGCGTGTGCGATCAGCATTCTGGGAAAGTCTCTGACTGATGAACTTGCCCTGGTGGATGTTTTGGAAGATAAGCTCAAAGGAGAAATGATGGATCTGCAGCACGGAAACTTATTTCTTCAGACGCCTAAAATTGTGGCAGATAAAGATGACTCTGTGACCGCCAATTCCAAGATTGTGGTTGTGACTGCTGTAGTCCGTCAACAGGAGGGGGAGAGTCGTCTCAACCTGGTGCAAAGAAACGTTAATGTCTTCAAATTCATTATTCCCCAGATCTCAAGTACAGCCCCGACTGCATCATAATTGTGGTTTCCAACCCAGTGGACATTTTCACTTATGTTACCTGGAAACTAAGTGGCTTGCCCAAGCACCGTGTGATCG